CACTTTTTTTCTTTTATCCTAACAGACATCCTCAGTGGGCTAATAGCCAAGAAGGTATAAATATTAAAGCCCCCTGCACAGACCAGATGGAAAAGATCTGAGTTGGGCAAAATGTTCCTTGCTGAAAGTTGCTCTGTTACGTGAAACCGTTTCAGGAGAGCAGAGCACCAGGAAAGGAGCATCATTCCTTTTGGACACATTTTTGTGATACTTCAAAGGAATTATTTGCAGTGTCAGCGATGTATATTGCTTCTAGCACTCTGAAAACCTTCCTTCTCAAATGAGGGTTGGTCCTGTGGGTCACTCTTAGGAGAATATCTGAAATCAGGCCATTCTGCTGGGCTCGGAGCAGCAGTCAGTGCTGTAGTTGGAAAAAGGTTGGGAACATGTGGGAATGGAGGCCCCAAGGGGCTTTGGCTGAGTGGCAGTATCCCACTGCTGCCTGTGCTTCCCAAGTAGTCTGGAAAGATCTAATATGGAGCTGCAGAGCACCACCTGGGTTTCTGGTACAAAGTCTCTAGGAACCTCTCACCAGTTGTCATTTAAATAGACAGTAGGCAGGAGGAGAGTCAGACAGGGGTTTTACAGGTTTAGGTATTGTTCAGCATTATCAAGCCAACTGCATTACTTCATGGAATGACTGGTCTTGTACTCATCAGAGGAATGTTAATATTCACAAACTTCTTCCTAGTAACTCTTATTATGGAATATGATGAAAATAATGTGCTGAAGGAGCTTCCAGGACGTCATTTGGGCCCCACCACTGACTCACTCTGCAACCTTGAGTGAGTCTCTTAATGCCAGGTACCTCCTGTTTCCTCTCTGATGAGTTAGCAAATGCAAAAAGACTAAGAAAAAGGGAGAAAGCAGTTACGTTTGTAGGTAACTGGAGCTTATTTTCAGACCAGTTGATGCCAATAGCCCACAGCCAATAGGTCATGAATCATAGAATCATTTAGGTTGGAAAAGACCTCTAAGATCATCTGGTCCAATCATCCACCTACCACCAGTACTGCCCACTAAACCACGTCCCTTAGTACCACATCTACACATCACCTCCAGGGGCAGTGACTCCACCACCTCCCTGGGCAGACCTTTCCAACGCCCAATCACTCTTTTGGAGAACATGATTTTCCTAATATCCAACCTGAAGGGAGAATTTGATAGAGCCTTCTCTTCTGAGAACATCAGCAATGTAAAAAAACACCTAGGTGATGCTCAACGTCTAATCATATGGTGGGCTATATTTTACAGACACATCCCTGACATGGGCTGAGGTCCCAAAACTGAATACCAGAGGCTGCTGACACACTGAGCCATTGGAGTAATCATATTTTAAGTAAAATACAGACTTTTTTCAGTGCTTATAAACAGTGGGACTAGGAATACAAGAATTCCAGCTGGTAGAAAGCAACGTGATACATGGTTCATACCTCGAGCTTTGCCGAGCATAATCTCAGTATGGCACAAGTCTGCTGATAGGTAATTGTGGGTGTAATTGTGACTACCTGTAAAGCTGTATGAGAATTGCTAAGTCACAGCCTGAATCAATGATTGAGCACCTGGTGAAGGGACACAGCCAGCCCTATGAACACAGGTGGAAACAGGTTCCACCCCTCTCTAAGCCTCATTTAAGGACTGGCTGCCACAGGAGCAGGTTCTTTACCAGGAGATTCATTCCTTTGGAGTATTCAGTGGGCTCTGATCTTTGCTGTGGGTAAGTGAGTATTTCTTTCTTTAACTGGATTTTGATTATCACAGTTTTTTTTGGGTAACTCAGGACTGGTTATTTATATTGCCTTTCCCTCCAAAAGCTGTCCTGGTTGAAATCAACTGTGGATGAGCTATATATCTTTCCAGCAAATGTCTGGGAGTATTGTTTATAAGTCTCTTCACAGCCCTAGTGAGGAAGAAATGGGAAAAATAAAAAATAAATCTCTCTTTAATAGAAAGAACTCAGTGGGCAGATAAGAAATGTTTTGCTGGGAACCAGAGGCTGACCTGGGCAGGCACAGTGCAGTAGGATCAGCTGCTCCAACTCTGCCCCATAGGCTGGTGGGCAGGGGCAGGCACTGGGGTGCAGCTCCTTTTGCCTGGTGTAATAATGCTGAACCACATTGGAAACAGGGTGAATTTTCTGAGTGGATTTGAAATTGGAGTATTTTCTCCATGTGGAAAAAAGGCTGTTTTTTTTGAGGGCAGGACCAAGGTTCTGGCAAAAGGGGAAGTATGCTGTCTATAGTCAGGCTCAGCAGAGATTAATGAAACCTGATTAAAAAGACTCACAAAAACAAAGTGATTCCATGCCTTTCCTTCCTACCCAGCTGCTATCCACCTTCTCTGGCACATTTAGTCTCTCCCTTTCTTACACATGAAAGAAATACAGCTCTGTGCATCAGCCTGTTGGATATTTTGGGTACTGCCACAAGAAATGAAAGCCATAAATGTATATATTTCTGTTTGTGTATTAAATGCCAGGGAGATTGGTAAAGATTTCAGAAAAACAAGTTGACATTTGGCCTAATAAAATAGTGTAAATAGTTTTTCCTTTCTGCTTTAACTTGGCAAAAATATCACATGAAAAGCTCGGAGAAGAAATATTTCATTTTTCCTGAAGGGAGGCAGGAAACTATTAACAAACAGTGCAGGAGCACAATATCCTGAAATGTTCTTTAAAAATCATCTCATAAGGGCACAAAAATGTGAGATCTGTACATTAATACTAAATCTCTAGAATCACAAATGTTCTGGAAGGAACCACTCTCTCTTAAGCAGGATATGGACAAGATGACCTTTAAGTGCCCCTTCCAACTCAAATAATTCTTTGCTTCTATAGTATCCATCTCATGTGGTTTTAGTGGGCAATATTGGTGGTAGGTGGGTGGTTGGACTAGATGACTTCAGAGGTCTTTTCCAACCTCCATGATTCTATGATTCTTGCCAAACTGTGATATCATGTTGTCAGCTTTCAGCATTTCTTTGTGCTACATGTAAGCTTTACCTAATTCTCCAACTGCTGGAAGCGTGCAATAAGAAATCTCAGATTTTGGTTTTTAAAGTAAAATTTTGCAAGTAGAAATATCTTGAAAATATGGTAGAGATAGCCAGCAAGCTTTCAGCTCCAATAAGGGCATGGAGAGTAGCTCTTGAAACCTCACCAGAGCCACCATTCTGATGTCCCAAAGCTCCCAGTGCCCTCTGTGCTTTGCCATTGCCAGCATGTTGTGAGCAGCTCCCAAAATAAGATGTCTGGGGCTCGCTGCATGCAGTCCCAGCTCATTGTTGAAAGCCAGGCTTCTGCAGGATGTGCAAACTGTGTTTTATCAGCCTAGTAACTGGGAGGGTCTAAACCTCCCATGTTGCAACTTAGTTGTGAGGGCCCTCAGCACAATCCTGTGGCAAACTGGGGGAAAGATAATAAAATTAAATTTACTGTTGAAATAAAAGACAGAAGGCACAGTGGTTTTATTTGCTAAAACCATCCGTTCCTCAGCTTACTGGAAGTTATTGTTGTGCTGCCAGTTTGCTATGGAACAGATGGATCAGATGCCATTGGAGTCTTTGGCTGGGGGAGCTGGTGGTTTGTTTTCTATAGGCTCTGGAGATGACATAGAGTGTTGCAGAAGCCTGAGACAAGATAGAGGGTGTGAAATCAAAGATGTTAGTAGTGCTAATGTAACTGGAAGGGGTTTGAGAAGGTTTGGAGCTCTTAGGCTTGGATCTGTGGGAGTCAGGTTTTGAGGAGTCAGAAAGGAGCAGAGGTAGGAATGACAAAAAATAAACAGGTAAAAAGCATTTTGACTGTAGTAGAGCTGAGCTGCTCTGCCTGGAAAAAGCACAGAGAATTACAAAGTGATGTTCGGGACAAGAGAGTTCTGTTCCCTCTGTCCAGTTGCCAAACAAAGGTGAGGGCATGCAGAGAGGTAAGGGATCAGAGCCCATAAAGGAAGGAAGACTGAGGAAATATCCCAGATTTGATTCTTAAAGGCAGCCCTAAGTACTGCATGCACCGAGCAGGCTGCAGGGTCCAGCCGACTGCATAACATGGGGCATCTATTGTGCTTGGCTGCTCCAGTGTAAACACATGGCCTGGACAGGGGTGGCAGGAGAAAATCTGCTTTTGTGCTGTCTGCAACAAATGTGTATGCAGACAGCTACTGGGAGGCAGTGGAGGACAGCTGTCAGCTTGGCAGAGGTTGATGTAAATCAGGAAGGCTCTGCAATTAGTGCTGAGCTAGCTTGCAGCAGCTGAGGCCTTAGCTGAGTCACTGAAGTGGTAAATAGTGCTGACAGCAAGTTGTGGCTTCGACAACCTTAAATGAACTCCATGAAGTGCTCACTTCTGAAGAGAATGTTGTTGAAACCTGGAAATGAGGCTCTCAAAGGTTTAACAGATTGGTCTGTTGTAGAGGATTTGTTTAGAAACCAGATGCAGAGGAGTGCAGCATCGCCACACATGGCAGGGCAACAGCATCCTGCTCCTTTGTGCTGCAATGGGGAGCAATTTCACACAGCCTGTGTTAGCACAGCAGTGAGCTGAGGTAGGGTGATGGTGCACAGTTCAAGTGAATGGAAGATGATGACAAGCTAAAACCTATCTGAATAATTGAGAAACGTTGGTGTTGTTGCATTCTTGGAAACAAAACTGGCACACGTTCTGCAGAAATCGCAGAGTGGTGGGAACAATTGATCACGATGGGGCTGAGTAGAGAAACAGAGACATCTCTTGTGGGTTTGAGCAACTTGCAGGCTGCTTCGGTAAATGAGTGGGCAGTGGCAGAAGCCCAGCATAAATAAGAGCAGCACTAGCAGCTGAGTTTGGACCCATAGATTGGGCTGGAGGCATGGGCCTGGCTGGTCTGTGGGATCTGACATAGGGTGAGGGGAGGCTGCAGCTAATCCAGAGGAACAGATGTGTACCCAGCTCACAGTTGGTGACCATTGTAAGCTTTGGGTTAGATTTAGCAAGAGAACACTCATGCCTAGATTTTTTTTTTTAGGTTCTTGGTAAGACATCCCAGGATGACATCTGTAATGGAGAATTAATGTTCCTGTAGTCTCTGCCTGCTTCGGAACACCAGTACTGCAAGCTGGGAACTGTCAGCTGGAACTGCAGGCCACCAGCTGCATTTCTCTGCTCCAGAGACTTGGGGACAGCCCTCAGGGGTTGTGACAAAGTAGACGCAACTGAGGTGACTACCTGATCCTTAGTCTTCTTGGTGAGTAATTACCAAACTCAGAACATCTGCACCATGCAGGTACCAATGGCTTTTTGCTGTAACATCCCTTGGGATGAGAGATCATGGCACTGATGGCTCATAGACCTCAACAGTTTTCTTCAGCATGAATTTGGAGTGATGAAGAACCAGAAGTTGTGCATCACCATGCTCCTGCACTGTTTGTCCTGTCTGCAAGCCCAGGCTCCTCCTGTAACATCTGGGATGGTTGCTTCCTTGTAGATAGCATGGGACCAGAATCAGCCACAAATATCATGTCAGGATGTTCACGCTCAAGATGGAGTTGAGGCCTGCAGGAAATGGTAAAACTGTGAGATTCCACCTGGAAGAAGTTTTCTTGCAGCTGAGTCTGGCAAGAGGCTCAGTGAGCAGCTCTAAGGAGACCAGTGGGGAAAAAGCAGAAGTGGGCAGGCTCCTGGAAGGCTGGGAATGGTGGGCATGTCAAATCACTTGCTAAGAGAGCCCCCGAGTGCTCAGAGTTATGAAAAAGGCAGAAATGCAGCTGATATCAACTAATTCTCAGCTGGTTCTGTAAGAGAAAATAAAAATTAGAAGCCTAACTAATCCATAGCACTAAGTTTCTTACTTTCTTAAAAATAACAGCAGAAAATTCACGAGAGAAGGTTATTTTGCTAGTCAGATAGAATCAGAAGCAAGTAAATTTTCTGATGTGCTTGACTCCATTGTTGGTTCATTCAGTGCCACAGCTTTTGAGAAAGGAACTGAAGAAGAATCTGGCTGCTTAGAATCACAATAGTGTTGATGGACACATTCCTCTATCATATTAAGACTCCTCATCAACCCGCATTCAATTCTTGGCCAGATCCAGCGAAGGACAGAGGCATCTGTGCAAAGAATTTCAATAGAATTCCAGAGAATTACAATGGAATTACACAACAGCACAGATAATAAAATTTGTGAGTTACTACGATTTATATTTCTGTGGGTTCCAAAAAAACAATCCCAGTGTAAATACTCCAAAAAAAACACCATTGGAGTCCACTCTCTAAAGAAAAAAAGATGAACAGATCTCAGTGTATTTTGTTTGTTCACCAACCATTCAAGAACCAGTGCCATCCAGACATGCTGGTGGCATATTATTCTTACCTAGGAGAAGCTGGAGATCTAAGGTAGAGAAGAGCTATAAGGCTGGAGGGAAGGTGATGGACAAGGTTTCATTCAGTCTGCAGTATCTATGGGACAAGGACTGTCTTTTTTTTTTTTTACTCTGTTTATGCCATCCACAGCACAATTGAGGCCTCAGGGCTTTTAAGGCTTGACTGCAGTACAAACTATAAACACCAATAACACAATAAGGTCTCAGATATTTTAAGGTTGGTTGTCTGGAGCACACTATTATGCATCCATCATGTGGCAGTGTGAACACATGCTCTCTGTGCCTAAAATTAGAGTTTTTCTCAGTGTGTTCTAAAAGCTGTTTGCTTTTCAATTGCAGCATGCAGTTACAGTGACATGTAGATGATCCCTGTGTATATTGATACTGTTTTTCACACTGGAACTATGTTTACTGCAGGGGAATCACACATATATTTCATTTTCTTTGCTGCAGCTTTATGCTGTATAAGGGCAAACATTTGATTATGAAACCCTGTTTTTGTATTTTTTCCAGATTTCTTGTTGACATGAAGAGTCTGTCTTTTGTTTTCCCACATTGCTAGAGGATGGTAGCAAAAACATTAATGGATGTGGATCAGCAACATCGCTCACAGACTGGGAGAGGAGGAAGGATATCCTGTCCTTCACTACTGAAGTTTAATACCAACTTGCTGACCAATCCATGGCACTCATATTCCTGTCAGCAGATCTGGATTTTACAGCAGCAAATAAGCCACTAATGGTACAAACTCTTTCTCAATATGGTGTAATACTTGACCAACCCGGGCCAAAAAATGAAGTCAATTCATGTAAGTTAAAGTATCACGTCAGGCCAGAGAGCTTTGTCTTTCTGTCATCTAGAAAGGATGTGTATGGGGGGCTCTCCTGTGTTTGTTACGAACTACTGTTGGTCACTTTAACAGAGTAAGAAACCAGAAACATGGAAGTCAAGTATGAAGTGCTGTGAGCATTCAAATGCAGAGGTCAAGCATACAATGAAAACAAAGCGAAGTTGTAATGCTAGTTGCAAGCTGCATGGATAATCAATACCGGAATGTGTTTCCTTTTAGTCAGGTTATTTTAGATGGCATCAGAAGGGGGGGAAAAAAGACCTGTAAGAGTAAATTTGCTAATTGGAAGCTGAAATCTGTGGCTGATAGCAGGCTCCCAGTAAAGAAGTAGATTGCATGAAGTAAGAGTAATGTTTAGCAACAAGTTCACAGCAGTTAGCTCACCAGTGAGACAAAAGTTCATACTAAGATTATTCTTGTGAATTCTTTTATATGCTCAAAGCAGAACAAGGATATTGAAGTGCCCTATCTGGAGGATTCTCTCCATGATACAGCACTCATGAATGAAAGCTTCCCCAGTCTCAACCTCTAGTTGAACCAGCGGCTCTCCTAGAGCTAGTAAGGTGGAAAGATAGCCATTTCCCAGAACTTGAATGGTTTCCCCCAAAAAAGTATTTGAGCAACTGTTCTTTTGCATAAAACTGTCCTCAGCTAAAGTGAGGTGGGTTATTTTCATAGCAGTACGTGTGTATATACAGTTTTTTTTACCTAAGTTTTTGACATCTCCAAGCTGCCTCTTGCAGCCTCAGCCCATCCTTTGCAGCAGGCAGGGTGCTGGGTGAGCCATTGGGCTGCAGTGTGCAGTCACTCTGTTTTTCCCTGTTTGCTGTGGATGCTGTCAGTTGGCACGTGGAGGCTCTCTGTTGATGAATGAGTGCTGTGAAGCAGACGGGATGGAAACAGAGATGTTCTTGACATTCAGTCAGATCCTAATGAGCAGGTTTTTTTGGTCACTAATGGGCTGAAACGTGCCCGCTTCTTAAAAGCTGTTCTTTTTTTCATTGACGTGACCCTGAGTGACAGTTCCCTCTCCTGAGATTTCCTCTGACTTGATTTATAGAGTCTGAATTCCAGCTGCATGCTACTTGGGGCACAGACCGATGTGATGTTCCATGTGAGGTGCCCAGACAAAATAACAGCTTTAAAATGTCATACAGCAGCCCCTAAAAGACTTGTCAGAGCTGGAGAGGACAGATCTGTTGCTTGCAGGCAAGGGGAAATGAGGAAATGCAGGAGTTGTGCTATAGGAAAATCTCCAGCTAAACTGCTTTCTCCCATGTACGATTGCCTACGCTGAGCCTATTCAAGGAGTCTTTGGGAAAATACCTAAGAGGATTTTTTCCTTTCAGATTAAGTGATTTCTGGATGATTTTACCCACAGCACATCAGCAGGGGGTGAATTTAGCTGCACTTTGCCTGCCCCAGTGAAAGAGAGGCTCATTCTTTTGAAAATCATCCACTAAATTAATGAAGACATGAACGTACATTACGCCGAACCTATTTAACTTATTAAAGGCTCCTCAGATCATTTCCTTCTGTGTGTCTTTACATCACAGGCTCTTCTGTTTATAATTTCCAAAGTTAGGGGAAAAAAAGATCTTAAGGAGTTACCCTCAGCTTTCAGCAGTCAGAAACTGTATGTACAGTAGTCAGCCTGAAATCCCATAGAAAGATGAAAGACCTCGCTGTGCTCAGTTAATGCAATAATGATCACTCTTCTGCTCAAACATAATGAGGTGAGTGCCACAGTTAGCAAGGAGTAAGAACCAAAAAGCAATGTCAATTTTTGTTTTGTTGTGTTGAATGAATTACTAGGATCTTCATGCTCTGAAACTTTGGCTAGGATCATTTATTCTCCTGAGGAAAATAAAATGTTTGGTCAGTGCCAGTTCCTTTGACTGTCATTGTTTTCACTGGCTTTGGGAACAGATCCTTATTTTTGCTTTATTTCTAATTCTCTTTTTCACCCTTCTAGCTAATGAATAGAGTGCAAAAAATCTGCAAGGCAATATTGAAAGGATGCTGCACTGAAGGAAAACAAGGAAGCAACAAAAGTTACAAGAAACTCATTTTTTGAGGACAAAATGGAAAAATATTCTACAGGAATGTTGTTCTTGTGGTCTGAAAGCCAATTTGAGTGATCTGGGTATGGGAAGCTGAGGCATGGGCAGGTAACATGGGCTGTGAACGCTCTTTTTCTTCACCTATCTATAGATATTGAGCTTTTCTGCTGTTATGGGGCTGAGATTCCCAAATACTTTCAAGATTTTGTTCTGCTCAAACCTATTGTTCTGGTCAGAAAGACAACGGCTCCTCCACTGCAGAGCCCAGAACTCCACTTAGGATATCTATTATGAGTTTATGAATCTGCAGGTAGTCCAGAAATTAGGCCCCTTCCAGCTGTTCCCATTGATGTGATGAGAAAGTATGACATTCTTCTGCATTCCTTAAGCACCTGCTGTACATTTGTTGAGTAGAATTTAAAAAGAGCTCTCCAGGCCTATAAATGATGATGGGTGTCAAACAGCCTTGCTAGCACCCTGACTACCTATAGTGTGAAATGGGAGCCTTCCTAATCCTGCTCCCAGCTCCTTGCCTGCAGCGGCCTGCATGGAACAGGAGAGCCAGGAGCTGGGCTCCTATTGCAGCTGCAGAAAAAGGACTTTGCTCTGGACATCATCTGCAGCACTTTGTATTTAGGGACCTTGCTTTCACTTTTTATTTGTTTTTCCTTTTTTTTTCCCCCTCTTTTTTTTTTTTTCCCCAGCTACACTTCTGTCAAATCCCAGTTTCCATATGAAGGTTTGCACCAAGTTGAGTGAAAGCACTTAGATAATCTATTTGTAACAAAATACTTTTCTTTTGCTTCAGTAAACTTAGTGCTTCCCTGTGAAAACAAACTCTTTAATTACTCAGGTGTGACTACTCACCATATTAAATCACCATACTACCTCAGTATAATAATACGGTTCTTTACAATTTCATTTTAGAATCGCTCTTCTTTTGCTGACATTTAATTTTGCACAGGAGTAACACTATCATAAAAGAGCCCAGGTGCAAAAATATTATGTTTTATTAACGATGTACTGTCCATTACTATTAAAAACTAGAAAAACTATCAGTTCTGCTTCATATCAACTGGGATTACTTAGCTTAAGTGTTTAAGAGGAATCATTTAAGAGCTCTGTTGCAGCACAGGTGCCTGTGCACCTCTTCTACACCTGGCCATTTGACAATATACTTTCATATGTGAGATTTCAAACTTTCTCACAGGTAAATATATATTTTTTTAACATTTCTGCTCAAAATTGCAAACAAAGTTTTTGCAGTGGGGAAGAGGAAGGGCGAGAATGAGCTGCATGTTTAGTGAATGCTGTTTTTACAGGTTTGTATCCATAGTTTTTGGATGATGTTTTGGCTTCCTTAGGCTCTTCTCACAGGAGAAATTACAACTGCAGTAGCTTGCAGTCCTTCTGTCTTCATTTATTGTGGTATTGATTCTTTATAAGAGAACTGGAAAGATGTTCAGCTTCACTGAAACCTATAGCAAGAGATGCTAGAATTAATCTCACCAACCTTCAACAGTTTAGCAATCAGGTAACCAGTAGCTAAGTGGCTAGGTATATATTTCACATGTGGAGAAACATTACCTCCAGGGAATGATTTGTGTCATTCTGATGTAGGTTTTTTTTTAATAGAGTAGAAAACACCTGCATTAAGGCTGCAGTGGCAGCACTATGCTGCCATACAACCAGAGCTTCTTTCCTCAGGCAGAGATGTTGCAGCTCTTTCTCCTTTCCTCCAGTTTTCTGTCCTTCGCCATTCATCCAGAACTTCGTAGCTTCCAGGTTTGTCTCTTTTGTCTCCTTTCTGCTGGCCTTTTAGCACATCCGGATCTCTGAGATTTCTCTTTATGTAAAAATTGCCCTTATTTTTTTTCTCCTTGATTTCTCTCAGAAAGTTTCTGCATGTTCTTATCTGCAGCTCCAATCTCTGTTTGCTGCTCTTATTCTTGAGCTGCAAGTGGTTTGCATGGTGGTTTCTCCTGTCATGTTTTTATCAGGCATCCTCCAGTAACAATCCTGCTGTTTTGCCCCAGGTTCTGTTTACCTTCTCTATCTGCTCTGGTCCTCATGTTTAAAGGCTGTTGGATTTCTCATAATTGCAAGGTTTGGGCCTCTTTCAAATGGTTGGTTTTTTATCTTACTGAGTGTACGTTTCTGTTTTCTCCCTTCATTGGTTTGTTCATTTTTTATAAGTCTTTTAATCAAATGAAAGGAATTAAAAATGAGGAGGGAAAACCCAAGAATTTAAATTCCAGTCTTTTTTTCTACCACAAAGAACCAAGAATTCTTTCTATTTAAGACAGTCACAGATTTTATCATTGTGACTGGTTTCCATTAACTTTGTAAGTAGAAAGACATTTAGCAAAGTTGAAAGCTGTCTCTTACGTGATGACAGGCTTTGCCTGGTTTAGTATTTTTACTGGTTAACTACCAAATCCTGAGTCTACTGCTGTCTGTGGCCAACATTTAGTGTTCTCTAGAAGAAACATGACTTAGAAATATATCTTCCATACTAAGCTTTGAAAACACATAGTATTTTGTGTTATAGTAAAAACGGTTTTAACATGTGAAAAGAACTGTTACCACAAGGCCTCCATGGGAGAAAGGAACAGCAGAAAAGGGTACAAAGGGTCAGGAAGAAAGCATGATACATAGTCAGCTGCCTCATCTATATACAAGACAACCTAATTAATACTCATTCATCCAACTAAAGCAGTGTGAACTGGTTATGTGGATCGACAGACTGGTTAAACCAACGTTGGCACCATGTTGGGATGTGATAACTCCAAGTGGGATTTTGTTTCTGGAAGTCAAGGCTCAGTTGAGACCTGTTGAAACCCTGTAGTCTTTGCCATTGCTGTGGTACCATAGCCTATTTAGTATTCAACAAAAGAAGACTCAGCTGGACTTTCCCATTTCAATTCACACAAGTCAGGTTTGGGTAGATCACAGAATTGCCAGGGTTGGAAGGGACCTCAAGGATCCAACCCCCTGCCACATGCAGGGCCACCAACCTCCTCATTTAATGCTAGACCAGGCTGCCCAGGACCCCATCCAACCTTGAGCACCTCCAGGGATGGGGCATCCACAGCCTCTCTGGGCAGCTGTTCCAGCACCTCACCACTCTCTCTGTAAAGAATTTTCCCCTGACATCCAAAATGATGGATGACTGAGAGGGGAGAAAAGCTGCTCCAGTGTTCCATTTCTTATCTGTCTGGATTTTTCTTCTTGCAATTTCTTGGGAAGACTTTTCTAATACAAGAGTTCTCTGATGTCCTTCCATGCTGCTGCTTCCTTTCACATCTGACCTCGTAGGATCACTGCATGTCTTGAGCTGGAAGGGACCCACATCCTCAGGTTGCTGCCCATCATCTCGGTCTGCCCTTGAGCCCCTGGGCTGAGGTCTCTAAGAGGGCTTGGTCAAACCTAATGTTATCCAACCCCTTCTGCTCTGCAAGACTGCAACTCTGGCTTTTAATCTTTGCCATGCTTCTACTCAGGTACAACTGTTATTATTTTCACTCAGTTTAATATTGGAGAAAGCTTTCCCTATTTAATCATTAGAAACAGAGAATCCATGATGTATTCAGAACTGCAAAAACTTAATTCTGGTTAATTTTTTACACTCTGAGTAGAGTCATTATGACTGATCTTTCAATTGAGAACACCCATTTCGTTTATTTTTAACATTCCTTTCATTATGTTATGAGCTTCTTAAGGATAATGAAATAATTGCTTGTCTCTTTGATTGATCTTTGTTTTGAATGGAAACTTTAATAGTGTTATTTCTAGAGCAGGCTTACAGTATAATACAATTGAAGGAATACATGACACTAAAACACTTTAAAGCACATGTTCCAATAATTAGACCTACAATCCTTGTCAGCCAAAGGACTGTACAAGGAGGAGTCCCTGTTACAATTTATGAGGAAAGATTTCATGCTATTTTGCTTAATAAAGCAAAAAATATTACTAATGACATTTATTAATAGCTGTAGCAATCTGTGAATAAACTCCTTCTCCAGACAGCTCTGGAAAGAAATCCCGAATTCTCAAATGCAAATTTACTTTTCAGCAGTAAAACATGCCAGAAGTATGGTAACTTGGGATCTACGTTCATCCTGCGTGGAAAGATTTTGAGATTCCTCACATCTGGAAATGTATGGTCCTTCTGGATCTCCTGCTGAAGACCCCTTCCAGCTGTTCCTGACATCTCAGTACCCCTGGTTCCCTGTCATCAGGACCAGCACCTGTCAAGAGCATGGCTTTGTCTGCATTGCCTGAGTGCAAAGTGGAAGCTGACAAACTGCACAGGTTTGCAAGAAAATTCTGGAAGGCTCTGAATGTAATTTCTCCTATTTTATACTATTATCATGTTGGCCCATGCTAGCAGAGGTACAGCAGTGGAGGCTGAACCTTTCCATGAATATTCATTACATTTTGTTGCCGTGTGATGGCAGCAGAGGGGCAGTCTGTCACATCTGATGATGTCTGACATGGAAGTGTGGGTGAAGAATGAACAGTGGATGTCAGCACAGTGAGGATTGAATGATGTGTTTCAGCAGTGGCTGAAATATAATAGCCAATCACATAAGAGATACCAGCTTGCCTGAAGTTTAGAAACAAATTCATGTTTTGAGGACTAATTAAATGTCTTTAAAATCATTCAAGTTTTAATAATGCCCACTAACACTCAATGCCCATCTCTTGCTCTTAACAATGAATTGTATTTGCATCCTTGGTAAACTGGATGCTTCTGTGTTGTAATAGTAATAATTGTTGGAAGCTTTTATTCAGCCAAGAAATGAAAAGAAGCCTTAGAACAAAGGACAGCATATGCCCCACTAGCATATCAAGGGAAAGTAGCAGAGAGGAGTGCTTTAACAAGATCCAGGCTCTCAGAAGTAAGAATTCTAAAGTACACAACTCTGTGGTGTCATACGGTGGAGGAAACTTTGATATATTTGGGTATCTTTGAAGAGTGGACATGCATGCACGCAAATTAGAAGTGGAAAAAAAAGGAACAACAGAAAATCAGAACCTAGATGCACATTTTTTTCAGCTTGAAATACAGCTGTGTTTCTGTACTGATGATTAGAGCATAAGTGAGACTGTGTAGGCTAGCTATACTATATTGTACAGGCAAGAACCTACTTGTCCCTCAAAGAATTCAAAGAGAATTGGTCAGAAAAGTATTTAATCCTCAGATAATAACTTCATAAAGTCTTTAGGACACAAAGATGAGGGCAAGGGAAAAGCATGGAGATCAATAACTTTCTGAAATGTAACTTCTTTCCCATCTTCTTTAGCCTGAATTCCCGATGACAAGACCGAGATCCCAGGTAATCAAATTATTCAGTTTGTTTTGGTTGTATCACTTTGTTTTTGTCCAGTTGCAATTGCACTCAATTTAAATACCTGGGCTTTGGTGGAGAAGGTTGGGAGGATGGAATTTTTTCACTTCTTTGAATCCTAAACCAAATTATTTTTCCTTATTTAAGATCAATGAGATCACTTAGAGGCTTGTCAGCTTGGTTGGACTTTGCTGGGAACACAGGCTGCCCTCTGACATGGAGGAAGGTAGAAGCGAGCTGACGTGCTCAGGATGCTTTGTGAGGAAAGAAAAGCATTGTGGTGGCTCTTTCCAGGTGCTGAGTTTGTTTCCCAAGGAACCAAGCTGGATCACCCAAAAGCTGCTACATGGCACCACCTTCATTTTTAATAGTGTGATTCCAGCATTGTAGTATTGTGTACAGCCCAATCCTCAGATGGAATACAATCACGTTGTAGCTCATTTTTATATCAGATGAGGATTCACTAGAGATAAGATTCTTTAGCATCCACCCACACATGGTACTAACAGTGAGAAACCTGTTTCACAAGGTCTTAAAGCGTGGTGCGGTAACTTGAGAGGAAAAGTGAACCTAAGAGAACTTTGAGAACCTAAGTGAACAAGGGAGATCTAGTTAATCCTCTGTACTTTTCCAAGCTGGAATTATGGCTTTTAACATTTCTGTTCCTGAGATGTTGGGCAACAGGCTGAAGCTGGCCAGTTTTACTTTTGAAGTATGGATCTTCTATATCAGAGGAGTCAAGGCTACAGGCATATCTAACAAACAACTCGAGCCTGGGACTATCTGGATTTTTAAGTTCATGATGGAAAAGGGTATTGTCCTTGTTTTTCAGGATGCTTATAAGCCTACGTTAGTAAACACAGATGATGGCAATTAAGGCTTTGGGAGAATCTTGGCACGTTGGAACTGACCGCTTTTCTGATTGAGAACTGAGATACTGGGAGAACCCTTTATCCCCTGGTTGAGCAAGAACATCTTGAATCTGTTTATATGTGTGTATGAAAAAAATTAATTAAACCTCTACGGGCCGGATTCCTCAAGGATGATAAATGCTCAGCTGGCTTTAGGATCCTGCACAAAAATATGAGTTAACCTGGAGAGCTTTTGGATTTCAGATAAAACTGAGGGGCAAGGTTATGAGGCACACACAATGAAACATCACCACTAGCAGGTCACATTTTTTCCATGTACAGAGCTGGTGAAAGCACCCAGTTGGGTGATTTTTGCTTTGTGTTATTAATAAACTCAACAAATGTTACCTTTCTCATGCACTGATCTGATGCCCCAGCAGTCACCCATCCACATTCCCTGGAGAACGGGAGCTGAGGAAGTACCCACAGCTCAATGGAGACACAATGCTGTTCAAGTTTTGAATTGCTTGAATGATTTGTGTTTTCTCTCTCATCCCACCATTCCCTATACAGCAACATGCTGATGATGGTTACCTCCCAGAGGCTGGATTCAAATGCCTTTCCCCAGAGAGAGCTGAACCTGCATCTCCCACATCTTGGCTGAGTGCCTTAAATACTTGGTAAAGGATCTGGATATCCTCTTCAGTGCTGTAAACCTAGGCCAAAAATAGTTTTCAGCTGCAACTATATGACTAATTTGACCTGAGACTACTTCTGTAGGGCAAATATTTTATTCACAGAAGAAAAATACTTGCCCTCCCCTATGAAGAAGATAGAAGGGAGAAAGATGTGCTACAGCAAATGAGCCATAAGATCTTGTAGAAAATGTTAGGACTTGACACTAATATACAGCACCGTTTCCCAAGCAAAGTTTGAAAAACCCAGAGTTCTCCTCCTCATCTCCTTTCGCACATAGCTATGTCACTACTTACCTGTTGGTTTCCAGAATATCTCAAAGTCACTACCATTCTTCCAAAAACCAAAGTGAGATAATGAATATATACATTTTATAGCTGCAAACCCAGAGAGACGGTGCAGGTAGGTGTCTGAAATATGCAAAGTACTTCCAAAAAAAAAAACAACCCAAACCAACCCAAAACATGCAAATTATTTGGCTTCCTACTCCTGTGTATTACAACAACAGCTTGTAGGAGGTGCAGGGGTTGGGAAAGAGGAACAGAGCTTAAACTATCACTTTGGAACACCGATTTCTCAGTTTGTTTCTGCTACATAGATGCATTAATAGTTTCACATTGTGAGCTGAGATGTTTGCAAAGCACTTTGTTCTGTGCTGCTTCAATGGGTAGAAGTACTGGTTCTAGGTTTTAAAAGGCATTTCAAGTTAGGCTCCTAGGATCACATTCAGACATGAATAAATAATCCAATTTTCACATTTGCTATTCAGCAGCTTCTCATAGCATATGTGGTTGCAGCTGCAGGGCCAATATTTTTCTAAGTCAGGATACTTACTCAGGGACTTGAATGCAGGCTTGAGATGAGTATTTGGAAAGGGAGCTAAGTGCCCAGTTTCTATTGAGAAAAGATTTAGGAGTTTCACAAGCATAACTTATAGGCGTCCATTAGGAAAATCTCAGCTTTGCTGTAAATGCCTCTGGATTCCTTAGATTTCATTCATTTGGCAGCCAGGCACCTAGCTCTTTTGTATGATCTGAAAGAAATTTGCAGAGTTCTGTATAACTTCTGTAGTCTTTCTCTGGAAAATGAATAAATCATTCAAATGGAAATACTCAAATAGCTGGGCACATATCCAGATACAGTATGCCTAGCTTAGTGGCAAAAACTTACAGCACACATCCTGTATTGTCAAGGACTCTGAATGTTTTGGCTGCCCTAATAGAAAAACAATAATTCAATCATGTATTATAAAGGAATTTTCTGGAGACATTTGGCTTTGCTCTATCACCCTATTAGATTTGTTCTTAATGTGGAAGAACAGCCCACTACATTCATTACATACATTAGACCAGCTATGTTTATTTCTAGGTGAGTTTCCCTAAGGTGGTTGAAATGCCTAAAAAAATTTTGAAGATGCCTTTATACCTAATAACAACAGCACAGTCGCACCACTGTATGCTCAGTAAGTGTTTCTCACAGTGGAGGGGCACATTTAACAGAACTCGCTGTAAGTATTTTATAAATCAACAATAACAGACCCACGGGGTTAGGATCATTGTTTTATTTTGCTGGCAGGGACCTGAAGCATGTCAGATGTTATACAAAGACAAGAGAGAATGTGTGAGGAGATAGTTATGCTAATACTTCCCCCCTTCCTCTCTGGAGTAACTGCCTTAACATTACACAAGTTGATGTGTCCTCAGCCGTTCCAAATTACCTACACCTGTTGGATCTGGCACATTAAATAAATACCCAATGAAACATAACTGCTAAAACCCTTTTCCTTAAATGTTCTTAAAGACCAGCATCTCACTTGTTTGTAAAGACTGTCTTATGCTGCTTGACTGCTTCCAACAGTAAGCCCACAGATGTCAGTGACCTCTCAGAGTTCACAGGGGACAGTTTAACTTCTCAGGGTCTTTTAGATGTTCCCAGTCATCCTCATCTCATGAATATGCCATGTACCCAGCCGCTCCTGTCTGCCCTGGAGATCTGTGCTGATGTGGCTGGTTGGCCAATGGACCAATTGTCACTTCACGATGGAGTTTCAGGCCTGAGGGAAAACTTTCTCTGCAGATGTTCATCCCACAAAGCAGCTGCTCATACGCCATGCCTTCCATCCTCATCCCTACAGCCAGCCCAAAGCTCACACAATGACATGCCCTATACCACCCATTTCCCTCCAGGAATGCCCATGCACAGCAGGCACTGTGACACACAGAGCCATAGAATCATTCAGGTTGGAAAAGATCTCTAAGATCACCAAGTCCCCACCATGCCCACTAACCACAGCTCTCAGTGCCACATCTCCATGTTTCTTGAACACCTTCAGAGACACCGATTCCACCACCGCTCTGGGCAGCTTGTGTCACGAGTCTCATGGGACAGGTCCTCTGTAACAGAATCAGGGATCAGTGCTGTTCCTCCCTCACCACCTGCATTTCAACTGTCCCGCATCCCTACATCCAGGAATTTTTAAGAAGTAACAGCTCGTGACTTTTCAGTTCCTTTCCATTTCACATGCCATCAGCACAGCGACAAGCTGACAACAACTCAGACAGGCTTAGGGAGTTCCTCCTGTGGAAATTCCTGATTGCTGATTTTTTTTGCACGGCCAAGTGTGTAGCAGAAATCCTAAGTTGTTGAAGCAGTGATTGAGCACCTGGTGGAGGGCAGGGCCAACCCAGGGGAGCTCAGGTGCATGCAGTGCAATGCAATGCACTGCACCTGAGTGACCAGAAGGGGTGAAGCCAGGATCCACCCCTTCCCAGACTTCATTTAAGGGTTGGCAATGAAGGTGAGGCTGTCTTTCAGGAGATCTCTACCTACCTGCAGCCTTCAAAGGTGAGCAGTTTTTCTTCTGTTGTTTGATCTGGGAATACCATAGTAATGCCTTGCTTGGCTGGATGGGGATGGGTGCTGCAGGGGTGTCAGTTCACCTCTCTTGCTGTTCTGTCAGCAGAAACCTGAAAGGTGGTAGCTTCATGGCTGTGGACTTAGTGGTGCAAATACAGATATCCATCAGTTACACAGCTCCCATTCACACACTGACTGATTGCAAGCTGTAAGTTCAGCAGTGCTTTGTGCTGAGAAAGGCTTACTATTCTTGGATCTGTCACAAAAACACTTCAAGTTGTCACAGTGCTTCTGTCTGAGAAGAAGCAGAGGCATCCAACACTTCAGCAGTGCCAATGCAAACAGTTTGTTAATAACCTACTCTGACGTTCTCTATAATGATACCCCTGGACCTGGCTTTGTACTCCAGAGCATGTATGCTATCACATTTCAAACATATTTACACTTCATGTGTACTCACACATGCCTACTTTGCTTTCATACATGTAATACAGTATCACTTTCCTTAGTCTACAAGGTTTGTAACTTCACTGGTGCACGTGTGTGCCTTCTGCATGCTTAAAATCTATAACTATCCAGTGTGTGCCAACACTTTCTAGGAAGGAATCTGAGTTGGGTAATGACTGGAGGCCAAGCCTGGAGCTGTGAGATATACCTGCAAGGCACTGCTGTGCACACGGAGAAGTGTGTGATATTCTAGGCTGCTGAGGGGCAGCCCTGCAGCAATCCTGCATGCTGCTTTTTGGGAGCATCCCTTGAGCATCCTTTTCCATGTCCTGATGTGACTTAGTTGTAGTTTAATGTAATGTGTGTTTGAACTGCCTCTAGAGGATTAGAAAACATTAAAACACACATATCATAATATTTGTATGTCTATGTATGTTTGTATATACAGTAAACTCCTCCTCTATCAGTTCCAAACCTTGAGGTTGGGAATATCGCAGTTATTGAAAGCTCAGAAAGGACAAACAGAAGTTCTATTTATGGCACGTTGCTGTTTGGTCTCCTGTGGTGCTGCATCCCATCTCCTGCTCTTAGACCCCTCACCCCTTTGTTCTGTGCTGATGGAAGTATTTTCATACAATTTCAGATGTCCCACTGGGATGGTTCATTGTAGTTCTTACATTAATCATTCCTTCCTTAGAACAACTCATAATGTCTCTAACTCTAGGCCTGTGATGATAGTCATCCTCTAGCTGTACATCTGTACATTCCTAATTTTCCTCACCTTTCTTCTGCCAGAATCCTCCTTTTCCCATCATTTATGATATCCAAAGCAAAAATGAGGAACCAAAGTTAGGAGTTTAACCAGATATTCCCTTATGAAGTCTTTCTGTAGAGCGGTTACTTATTCTGTTTATAAAAAGTGGAGAAAACCTGATTTAAGAAAAAAAAAGTGAAATTGCTGTTAAGTACATTGTCAAAACTAGGTAATAAATTATTGCTCTTGCTACAGGGAAACTCAGTATATTTTCCTACCTTGTACACTTTCCAATTTTTTTTTCCTCCATAACTAACAACGCATTGCTGGAGAGCACAGCCTCTCTGCATAAAGCTCCACAGACATACCGAGATTGTAGACCGCATTCTGATTTCCCGTATGTTACAGAAATACGGTATCATGCCAATTACTTCAGGGGGAATGACTCTGGATTTATACTGCTGTATCTGAGATCATAATTTGACTCCCTGTGAGTAATTGAGGTCATGTGTCTTCCTTTTTAACTTCACCATTGCCATGCCTACGCCTCCCGCTGCAGGGTGAGCAGCTTGAACCATCCCAGATGACTGAGTCATGAGCATTTTTTCTAGATGAATACATGAGGGTTTATAGGAGAGCAAGTAATTGCTCTTCGTGTGTGCCTGGGATATTATTTCATTAAGCAAACTACTCCCTGCTCGTGCAGAAGCCCTAAGATCATGCAGCTGCTTGTGCCAAATTAAGTTTTCCTTAGGGTTAGAACGCAAAGTCAAAACTCTTGGGTCCTTTTTCATTAATATGCTCAATTTCTTACTTTGGATGAAGTCCCCATGATCTCTGTGCATCAGTTACCATCTATTCAGTGGAGCTCAATCTCTCTTTGTGAGGGAACAGACGTGGAAGCCCAGCATGTGGGGCCAAACCCTGACCTTGGGTCTGTGACATCACTGGGGGAAGTTGGACAAGGTGCCAGTTTGTGTTTTTACCTCTGCCTCTCTGAGTTGGTAAAATTCTCTGATAAAAGCTGTCCTAAAAACACAAGGTGTTTCTGTGACTCAGGTTCACTTTTGGTCACAGATCCCACGCTTCAGTGCCCCTGCTGATTGTTGTTGCAATTCTTTCCTACCTCCTAACACTTACCTGAGAAGAAATCACTTCTGCTCTCACACTCAGGGCACAGCAATTCACTTACACTTTTGACAAGGAGGAAGTCACTAAAATCTTCCTACACTGCACCTGCACAGGGAAAACCTATCACATCTTTCACTTTATTTTTCTTCCAAACCTCAGTTTTTTGGGACTGAAGGCAGTTCTCTAAAGCTACAATCAACACAAGAGAGAGCAAGTGCATGGGGAAACAAAGTCCCCTTCTCCATAGAAAGAAACTGAATATGCCTAAAGAAGGGAACTAAGACTTCATGCTGCTGTTTATGGGATGCAGTTAGAATAAAATCACTGCATTTTGAGGGAAAGCAGAGCATTACCAGTTACGTTTTTATCATCAATTTTGAGAATATATTCTATCAATTTCATGCATGTGTAAGTGGCCATACAACCTATCAGCATCTAGCAATCTGTTTTGTTTTATCCCTATGGTAGCAGCTTATCCTCTTTATATATCACGCTTTATCTACAGTAATGAAGGTTAGTGATAGAAAACTGCACTTTCTAACCCCAGGCAGCAGGATGAGATCCAACCAAGCAGCACTGAGCCCCACACCCTCAGTACACACACGGACACTCCTTACCTTGCTCCAAGCCAGTCCGGAGCCACCAACACCAGATGTATTCCAGAGACCTATTAGTGCACACACTAGAAGAGCATATTTATGATACCGCAAATATTTAAGTGTGGTCTCTACAAGTGGGAGGAGAAACTGCTCTCTCCAAAAGCTTTTTGGCCACAGGATTTCCCTATCTTGCCAGCCTCCCTTGTGTTCCCCCCGTAGCTGTGGGTTTGTTGGGAAGGCCTCAGATAATCATCTGGCATCTCTTACAATGCTCATAAAAAGAGCTGGTGAGAGTTTCTTATATCTTATGTACTCAAGTTTCCATGGAACAAAGTAATGCTTCCAGAAGAGGAGGGGAGCATGCAGCTGATGCTTAAGGCTCGGGAGGTAAAGGAGGGGTCCTGCCAATGCCTTGTGGAGAGCTCTGGCCAGCTCTGTCTCTTTGCTTTCCTGCTAGGAAAGTCTGTCTTTACTAATCTGTAGTATGATTTTTGAAATGAGGCTGATGAAATATGACTGTAAGCTTGATATTAAATCTCCTTTTTAGACTGATAAATGGCTTTCTGGCAATATATTGCTTTACAGAAGGGTCACCTTTTCCCCTAGCTTGAGCGAAAGCCAGGCTGAGCCTCTGTGAAATCGAAATGATCTTTGTCCCAGAGTTTACATCTTCAGCTGAAAACAAGGGATCAGATTCCCTGCCTCAGGCTGAGTGGCTTTACCCTGCAAGTAATCCTATTGAAACCAATGGGACTACTTGCAGAGCTGAAGGATGTGTTGGCACAGCATAAGGGCTGCTGGCTGTGGTTCCAGCATCCATTCACTCGCATTGTTTACTTCTCTATTAAAAAAGCTTCCAGCACCTACAGCCACTGCATGCAGTGGGACTGAAGTGCAGTGGCTTTCTCAGGCTGAGAAGAGACAATGGCCGAATGGTGCAGGTCTGGCTATTGTGTCTTCTGGTTTTTGTTGTTTTTTTTTTTTTCTTTTTCTCTTTTCTTCATCCTTCCATCTTATAGAATGGTAGAATCATAGAAGCAGAAATCAGATGAGTTTCTCAGGTTTCCAATGAGCTCAGTGGGCTGCAAGGCTGCTGCTGAGCCTGGTGGTGCAGAGAGCTTCGGCTCAGTTCCGTTAGATCCCCAGCTCTGTTAGATAGCTGAGAGCTCATCACCACTATATTTATTCAGGTATATCAAGCAGTTCATCAAGCTGATGCAATCCACACCAGTCTGGTCTCCTGGGCTGGGTGAGGATGCTCTAAGGCCATGCTTTGCTCTTCCAGAGCTTGCAGTGGAGTTCAAGAACCCAAAGCTCTGCTGCTGAAAACAATTGGGCTACCCTGACCACCACCCACCCCAAAGTGGTTCAAAACACTCCAAAAATTACACACAAGAAGGCAAGGAGTTCAAAGGCAATGATTTTGGGTTGCCTGCAGCAAATTAATTCCATCTTGTGCATAAAATCAATTCTTCACTCCTCTAACCAGACTGGTACAGTTCTCCT